CCTGTTGCTTGCTGTTATAGTCTGTGGCTCAGTACTGGAAGTGGTTAGAAAATGGGTGGATGGTTTAAGCTTTTGTTTCCATTTGTAAAGAAGAATAGGGCAACATTTAGACCTTTCAGGTTGAACAGTTTTAACAGTTTATATCAACCTGCAGCTCCCAGCTGGCAGCCCCACTGGAGCTCAGCAGGTGTGAGTCTGGCCAGTACCTGGATGGGAGACTCCTGGGAAAGCTGAGGCTGCTAGTGGGGAAAGAAGAGGTGTTAGTGGGGCCAGTAGGGGGCGCTCACCCTGCGGTCTGTGTGGGTCCTGATGCCCCAGTATAGTGACGGGGACACTGTACTGTAAAAAAGGCGCCATCCATCTGATGAGACGTAAAACCGAGGTCCTGACTCTCTGTGGTCATTAAAAATCCCAGAAAAGAGTAGGGGTGTTACCCCGGTGTCCTGGCCAAATTTCCCCCTGGCCTTTACCAGTCATGGCCTCCTAATAATCCCCATGTCTGAACTGGCGTCATCACTCTGCTCTCCTCCCCACTGAGCATGCGTGGTGAGCGTACCTATCGGGTCATTTTGTCTTCTTTTCCTGAACTGATTGTCTGATAGCCGGGCTGACAGATCTCTCTCTCCTCTCAGCTGGGACCCAACCCTTCCTCTCTGGGCTCCGCTGCCCTGGGCAGAGGCCAGTCGGGCTGTTTGACCGAGCGGGACACTCTCTTCCTGGTGAACGGGAGACACCCCTTCAGAGTCTCCTTCTCGGACGCCCAGAACGGAAGGAGGTCGGTCCCCACTTCCCCCCCAGCGAAGAGGCAGAGGAAGGCGCCGGCATCGGGTCCCAAACGCAGCATCCTGGACTTTTTCGGCTCTCCTCCTAAACAGGTGCGGTGAAGCAGCTGGGGCCTGCTGTTGTGTGTTCCTGAATCGGCGCTGGTGGCGGATTGGTGCCTCTGTGGCTCGGGATCTGCGCCTGTGGCTGGAAGGTTGCCGGTTCAAATCCCGCGGCCGGCAGAGGAATCCTACTCCGTTGGGCCCCTGAGCGAGGCCCTTAACCCCAACTGCTCCAGGGGTGCTGTATAAATGGCAAACCCCAAGGTTAAAACTCCCGTGCAGCGGCGTACGGTCAAGCAGTCGGTTGACGTGTCTCCCAGTGCGCTCCTGGGCCCCTGCCCCAGGAGCCGCTGGGAGGAGGTGGGCAAACTCTTGCTGTTCACCTCTGCCGGGGTCCCCGCCAGCGCCAAGGTAAGAGCCCCCCTCCTTCTTTCTTACATTGGTTACTGGGGCGGAGCGGGGGCTCTGCGGCTCAGGATCCGTGCCTGTGGCTGGAAGGTTGCCGGTTCAAATCCCGCGGCCGGCAGAGGAATCCCACTCTGTTGGGCCCCTGAGCGAGGCCCTTCACCCCAACTGCTCCAGGGGCGCCGTATAAATGGCAGACCCGAGGTTAAAACTCCCGTGCAGCGGCGTGCGGTCAAGCAGTCGGTTGACGTGTCTCCCAGTGCGCTCCTGGGCCCCTGCCCCAGGAGCCGCTGGGAGGAGGTGGGCAAACTCTTGCTGTTCACCTCTGCCGGGGTCCCCGCCAGCGCCAAGGTAAGAGCCCCCCTCCTTCTTTCTTACATTGGTTACTGGGGCGGAGCGGGGGCTCTGCGGCTCAGGATCCGTGCCTGTGGCTGGAAGGTTGCCGGTTCAAATCCCGCGGCCGGCAGAGGAATCCCACTCTGTTGGGCCCCTGAGCAAGGCCCTTCACCCCAACTGCTCCAGGGGCGCCGTATAAATGGCTGCCCCTGCGCTCTGACCCCCAGCTTCTCTCCCTGTCTGTGTGACTCATGGAGAGCAAGCTGGGGTCTGCGAAAAGATCATTCCTAATGCAAGAAATTGTAAAGGGTTAATAAAGTGATGTAATTATTATAATGAAACAGATGTTATTACTACTTTTCCATCCAATCCGCAATGCTAACTCTAACCCCACCCCTGCCGAAAGACAAACAAGCATGAAACAACCCCCCCCAAAAACACAGATACATACCCACACAAGACCTCCCACTCAAGCTCAAACTCTTTAAGTCTCCAGAGCTATACCTTCATACCCAGAGCACACATCATGCGTGAGTACATGTACTGTATGTATCCTGTATCTATTCATTGTCATGCGCATAAATACACACGTGCTCAAATAACAGTAGTGTTTCAGTGGAAACAGCTAAATATATTGTCTGCTCAGCTGTGAAAAAGGCTGGTTTAGTAATAAACATGCAGAATCTGTTTTAGCGCTCTTAATTCCTTTCTAGACTTTTACCTGATACACTGAAATCACGTGACGGCAAACGGGACTGACCCTTGCGTTTTCTTCATGAGTTCCCGTGCAACGTCCTCGGGTCACGGGTTCGATTCTGTGTTGTCTGTCTGAGAAGAGCCATTCTCTCACTCTTCGCTGTTGCCAGATTGCAGGGTTCGACATTGACGGGACCATCATCACCACGAGGTCTGGGAAAGTGTTTCCGACCAGCCCCGATGACTGGAGGTACGATTTCACATCGGTCTGTATCCGTGTTTTGCCTGTGTGTCTCTGCTCTCTCACTCTTTGACTGAAGCGTCCTGTCAGGTGTGATGAACTGCAGCTGTAAGCCTGCCCAGGCAACCTTTAATATAAAGCCTTCAATCTCAAAAATCTCTTCTTTTTTCCCAAGTAGCGTCAGTCATCAGTAAAAACAATTGGTTCGCCCCAGAGTCCTTCGGTTCGGCTCTTTCTTTAAAAGAGTTTATTTTTTTAGGGTTTACAGATCTTTGCTGCCCTCATCTCTGTGTTCAAGCAATTAAAACGGAAACGATTCGTTTTAAAAACTCAGGTCAGTCTTGTCTTTACCACCCCTGGTGGTTTTACCGACTTGCCTCACGAATCATTTATTCCTCCGTTATTCAGATTCCGGCTGTCGCAATCCCGTTTGATCGCTGTAGCTCTCGTCTTTGTCTTTTAACCTGTGTTTGTACGGCAAACCTGTCGGTTTGTGTTTCTGTTAGGGTTCTGTACCCCGAGGTCCCGCCCAGGTTGACACGCCTCCTGAAGGAAGGGTACAAGGTGAGAGCTCTGCCCCGGGGGTGTGTGAAACCTCTCCCCGCAGAGCCGGCAGTGCAGACAAAACCCACTGTGTCCTGGGCTCCAGCGCCGACATTTTCAGGAGTCCCATATGGACGTTTTGCTTGTGGGTAATTCCGTGCCTGCTTTCGATGACGTTCGCACAAAGTGCGTCTCGCCTGGTGGTTTGAAGTGAACATTCGCTGCAAGTCATTGGAAGAGAGTGTAACGGTCAGAATACGGAGCAGAGCGGTGACTCTGTGGCTCAGGATCTGCCCCTGTGGCTGGAAGGTTGCCGGTTCAAATCCCACGGCCGGCAGAGGAATCCTACTCCGTTGGGCTCCCTTAACCCCAACTGCTCCAGGGGCCCCGTATAAATGGCTGACCCTGCGCTCTGACCCCCAGCTTCTCTCCCTGTCTGTGTGTCTCATGGAGAGCAAGCTGGGGTCTGGGAAGAGACAAATTCCTCATGCAAGAAACTGTATAGGGCTAATAATAAAGTGATATTATATGGTGCCAGATGCCTTTGAGGCAGTAACTGCAGGAAAGCAGGGGGGGGGGGCTTTGAAAACTCTCCAGCTTGTTCCCCGTGGCCTCCTGGATTGTGATATGAGTGAGTTACTCTGTGTCTGCCCTCCTGCCCCTCTCTGCCAGGTGGTGTTCTTCACCAACCAGCTGGGGATCGCCCGGGGGAAGCTCAGGCCCGAGGTGTTCAAGGCCAAGGTGGAGGCTGTGGTCAAGGAGCTGGGCCTCCCTGTGCAGGTGGGCTAAACGCTCGGATTCCAGTTCTAAACACCTTCCAAAGTCATATTATTATTGTTAGCATTCCTTGCTTTTCTGGACACTCCACTCCAAAGCACTTGACAGGTCATAGGGGTCCCCTCCACCACCACCAGTGTGTGAAAACCCTGAGAGGTGGTGTGTGGGGAGAGGACTGGAGCATCATCCAGGTGGGGCTGCACACTGGTGGGGGTGGAGGGGATCCCCACGACCTGTAAAGAGCTTTGAGTGGAGAGTCCAGAAAAGCGCTATATAAGAAGTCACTGCCAGAGAGGCAAAACATGAAAGTGCTGATTCCACGTGCTAAAACAAGTGGCTGTTCCAAATCGGATATACTGCAGCGTAAGTTGCTGAGTTCACGATGTCGCCTGCTGCCTCTAAGTCCTGGAACGGATCGAGCCGCCCTGCAGCGGGACAGCAGGAGAGTCATTTCCATCCACCCTGCGTGTCCTGCCACCTCCTTCAGGCATCTCTCCGGCACCCATCGGCCTGTTGTCCCGTTTTCCAGGTTTTCGTGGCGACGGGATCGGGGATCTTCAGGAAACCGGTGCTGGGAATGTGGGATCACCTCTGTGGAAAGGTGAGGATGCAGCCGACCGGAATGAGAGTCCGTGTGTCAGTACCCTGAGTCAGCTCGTGTTTTAGGTTAAGGTATTCGCCCCTAGATTCAGGTGTCTGGACGTGTGGTCACGAATTCACAGTGTGACCCGTTTCCTCTTGACAGTCCAGGCCTTCGCATTTTACTGATGATGTCACAGAAACATTTCATGTATCATTCTTTTAACATAACTTTTTATTTAACTTCCAGAAAGCATAATAATAATAATAATAATAATAATAATAATAATTCTAATAATTATAATAACAATAATAATGATGATCCTTGCAGTTCTCTTTATTGTTATTATTTTGGACCTGGTTAAATAATACTACTTTTAGAAGAATTCATAGTACATAATGTAGGAATAAATCAAATAATGTATTCAGTTT